AACTCAGCAAAAGTCTTATGGTGGTGATATTTCTAAGATTAAGTGTTATCACTATAAGAAGGAGGGTCACACAAGAAAGGTGTGCCCTGAGCGTCTGAATAATCATGGAGGTAAGGACAATGGGAATAAAGCTATTGTGAAAGTGTCGAGCAGCAACTCTTGCAAAGAGTGGATTAGGGATTCTGGATGTACTTGGCATATGACTCCAAACAAGAATGTGTTTGAAGAATTATGTTATCAAGATGGTGGATCAGTGTTGTTGGAAAACAATAAAGCTTGCAAGATTGCAGGTATTGGATCTGTAAGATTCAAGCTTCATGATGAGTCAATAAGGATATTGACTGGGGTTAGGTATGTATCTGAACTTAAGAGGAATTTAATTTCTCTTAGTGAATTCGACAAGAAAGGTTATGTCTTCAAAGGAGAGAAAGGTATTTTGAAAGTCATGAAGGGGTCGAAGGAAATCTTGAGAGGCGTTAAGAAACAAGGCTTGTATACCCTTGAGGCTGAGGTTGTAACTGATTCAGCAGATTTTACATCCACGAAAATGGTATCGAAGACAAAATTATGGAGCATGAGATTAGGCCATGTCAGCGAAAGAGGCCTGGTTGAACTGGGGAAACAGAACCTGTTAGGTAGTGACAAAGTCGAGAATTTGGAGTTTTGTGAACCTTGTGTATTTGGTAAATCCTGTAGGGCGACGTTTAACAAAGGTAAACAAAAACACATGGATCCCTTGATTACATCCATGCTGATCTTTGGGGGCTTGCAAGAAATTCTTCACATGCAGGTGCAAGGTATTTTCTATCCATAATTGATGATTATTCTAGAAAATTATGGGTATTCATTTAGAAGACTAAGGATGAAAATTTTTAGAATTTCAAAAGTTAGAAGGTTCTGGTTGAAACTCAAAATAGCATAAAGGTTAAGAGGTTGAGAACCGACAATGGCCTTAAGTTCTACAACAATGCTTTCAACAGTTAATTTGTTGAGTCTGGGATTGCAAGACATAAGACTGTAGCAGGTACTTCTAAATAAAATGGCTTAGCTGAGAGATTCAATCGAACAATCCTTGAAAGGGTTAGATGTATGTTGGTTAGTGCTGGATTGAAGAAGGTGTTTTGGGCGGAGGCTGTTTTGACAACAACTTATCTGATAAATAGATATCCCTTGACTGCTTTGGGAATGAAGACACTGAAGAAGTTTGGTCGGGTCAGCCACCATATCTCGACAAACTGAGAGTATTTGGCTGTTTAGCTTATGCTCACATTATGCAAGACAAGGTCGAACCTAGAGCTCTGAGATGCATATTCCTTGGATGTCATGACGGAGTCAAGGGTTATAGGCTGTGGTGCCTAGAACCAGGTTACATAAGATGTATCACAAGTCGTAATGTAGTTTTCAATGAATTCGAAATGACGTTCAGGAAAACTGGTGATGCTGGTCGAAGTGTAGAAATCTCTGAAGAGGAGCTGGAACAGGTAGAGATGCCTGTTGAGGTGGATCATAGTGATGTTGAAGTGCATAAACCAGATGAAGTCGAAGAAGAAGAGCAAGATGCTGAAGAGATCGAGGAAACTGTCGATGACTACCTACTGGCAAGAGATAGGTCGAGAAGAGTCATCAAGCCACCTCAGGGACTTGGTTATGCATATCTTATAGCTTTTGCCTTAATCTCTACAAGTGAGGTACTTGACGAAGAACCTAGAGATTACAAGGAAGCTATGAGGAGTCGAAATAAGACTGAATGACAAAAAGCAATGGATGACGAGATAAAATATCTTCATGATAATAACACTTGAGAGTTGATTGAGAAACCAGCAGGGGCCAGGTTAGTCAGTTGTAAGTGGATTTTAAAGCTCAAGGAAAGAATTGAAGGAGTGATGTCGAAGCGCTTTAAGGTAAGGTTGGTTGCTAGGGGGTTCACTCAGAAAGAAGGTGTCAAGTTCAATTATGTGTTCTCATCTGTTGTAAAGCCTAGATTCATTAGAATGTTATTGGCCATGGTGGAGAAGTCCGACTTGGAACTTGAGCAAATGGATGTGAAGATAACATTTCTGTATGGTGACCTAGACAAAACGATCCTAATGCGTCAACCTGAAGGGTATGCAGAAAAGGATAAGGAAGATTGTGTGTGCAAGCTGAATAGGTCGTTGTATGGTCTGCAATAATCTCTTCGACAGTAAAACAGGAGATTCGACAAGTTCATGTCATATATTGGTTTCATTAGGAGTCAGTTCGATCACTGTGTTTACTTCAGATTTTGACCTGGAAATTCACTTGTTATTTTGTTGCTTTATATGGATGATATCCTCATAGGTAGCAAAAGTTTCGAGGATGTAATGGAGGTGAAGGATGAACTCAACAAGGAGTTCGAAATGAAGGATCTGGGAGCTACCACTAGAATTCTTGGGATTGACATCCGAAAAGATAGAAAGCAGTCGGAGTTACGCTTATCTCAAGAGACATACCTACAAAAACGTCTCGACAAATTTGGTATGTCGAATTCAAAGCCTATTGTGACTCCAACAAATCCTCAATTTAATCCCAGTACTACTCAAAGTCCGATTACAAAAGCTGAAAGAATCTATATGAGTTGCATTCCATATGCTAGTGTAGTAGGTTCTTTGATGTATGTTATGTTCTGTACGAGGCCAGATATAACGTATGGTGTGAGCCTTGTAAGTAGGTATATGGTCAATCCTGGAAAGGCACACTGCCAAGCTGTAAAGTGGATTCTCAGGTACATAAATGAGTATCTGAAAAGAGTTTTGATTTATGGTGGAGCCTGTGGTGGTGATAGTATAGTCGAAATCGAATGATTTTTCGACTCAGATTATGCAGGTTGTATGAATTCCATAAAATCTATTTCTGGATATGTGTTCACTGTGTTCGACACAACAATCAGTTGGAAAGCAACGCTTCAGAAGGTTGTTCCCTTATCAACTACTGAAGCAGAATATATTATCCTCACTGAAGCTGTGAAAGAAACATTGTGGCTTGAAGGTTTTGTAAAGGAGATGAAACTTCAAGGTTGAAGAATCACTGTTAAATGTGATAGTCAAAGTGCAATACACCTGTCGAAGAACTCAACATATCATGAGTGAACTAAGCACATTGATGTAAGGCTGCACTTCGTCAAAGAGATAATCGAGTGTGGTGAAGTCCAGGTGCTGAAGGTTTCAACTGATGACAATGCTGCTCAAATGATCACCAAGACATTGCCAAATTGCAAGTTTTTTAACTGTATGCAGTTGATAAAGTTGCATGATGAAAGCCAATTTATTCCCTGTTGTTGTAGAGTTAGATCCAAGGTGGAGACTTGTGAGATTTTGGGTCGAACTCTAACTCTGTCGAGGAATAGCTTTCATGTGTTTCGACAGGAGACAAACATGAAGTCGAAGATGGGTTGCATGCTGTAGTCGAAGGATACATATTGTAGTCGAAGTCAGTTCTAATATGTATTGTCGAAATGTATGTTAAATTGAGCCTTGTGTTAAGGATCCAATTGTTTAGTTAGCTTGGGTTGCAAGTTATCTAATTAATTTATAAATAGGCTAGATCACTCAGGTTGTTGAGTGAAGTCAATTGTGATATTCATTTGTAAACCCTTATGAAAAAGTGAATAGTAAACAATTTGCCCTAATCCTTCTTCTTCTTTCTTCTTTATCCTTTCTTCTTTCTCTCTTTGTTCTAACCGTTTTTATTGTTCACCCAAAAACTCCGTTTCTCAATCTTAATTTGTTGAAAGGTATCGTTTGTGATCACAACAACATTCTTCTATGTTTCAATTGCATTAGTTGTGAGTTCTTGAACTTCATTTGTAACTACTTCAAGTGTTTTTTGATAGTCAAACAAAACTTTCATTATTTCTGCCATCTCTCCCAATTTTTTTCATCAAAGATTGAAATGAAGTTTGAGAGGTCATTACCACCAATCATTTTTATTCGGTTAATAGTTGCAGAAAAATTCTTAAATCTATGTATACTACACAATCAAGAATCGGGTTTAAGATACTAAATATGTTAGAACAAGAGCTTTCTTGCTCTTCAATAAATAAGGGAAGAAAAAATAAAGAGAGAATTGTGAGGATTAAAGTGAAGATTGTCCAAAATTATGGTTGGTTGTTCAATACAAATATGAATTACATCACTTTTAGCCACCGTTTATAAGTAACTTCTAAACAACCTATAATTGATTAACTAACAACCATACATTTATACATTTATTATGTGCATTTTAGTTTAAAGAAAAGTGACATTTTGTGTGAAACTATGTCCTTTTTAGGAAATGATTGAGTGACTTTAACATAAGTCCGAAATACATTGTTTTTATTTACAGGAAAAAGTCAGAAATATCGTTGACAATCGAAAGAAACATATGATAAATGGATATACTTTTTTAAAAAATAAATCAATTCTATTTTACGCTGAAATGAATTCATAATAGTTAATTTAAGTATAGATAAAATTAAAAACATGGGATCTACAATTTCCACTGAATCAGAACCTTTCCCAACACTCACCAACATTCATCTTTTCAGCACCAATAGAATCACTTCAAAGGTGAAAACTGAAATTGATATCCTTTATTGGAATTCTTACTAACTGCTTATTTATTATTTATTGGAATTGATTTGTCATGTTTGATCTATGATCTATATGATTTTCTCTTTTCTTTTCTTGAAAGTTGAATCTAGAGCTTGATTCTGCTTCACTGTTTGGTATGGTATATTCAATTGAAAGTAGATCTAGGATTCATCATCAGTGCCTATTAACTGTTTGAATATGGTACTAGGTTATATTTCTTTGAATCCCTTTTAATGAATTTGTAATAAGCTCCTTAGTTTTAGTACTTTGAAGTATTTTGGTGTATGTGTTTGTTGGAAACTTGGAATATGCTATGCATATACTTTCTGTTATTATTTCGCTGATACAACTAGTTTTGACCGTTTTGCATTTGAATCAGGTTGCAGATTCTTGCTTTCTAAACACATCTTCATGGCCAACAACGATACAAACGAGCCCTTGCTATTGAGATTGCAGGACACTGAACCTCAAAAGGGTAAAAGACGGCTTAACCAAAGAAGGCTCCTCCGTTCTCGAAGTGCTCCTGATACAGATCAACGTCCTCTGGTGAGAAACGGCAATGAATCAAATCCTCTTTCTGAGCCCATGTTTGGGAATCTACATCCAAGCTTTAGAAAAGTTGCTATAATCCTTATGGTCTATTTAGGCGTAGGAACATTAATCTTCTATTTTGCGAGGAACCAAATCAAGGGAATGAAAACAGATAGATTCCTTGATGCTCTATACTTCACAATTGTGACGATGACCACTGTTGGATATGGAGACCTGGTTCCCAATAGCGACCTTACAAAACTACTCGCCTGCGCTTTTGTTTTCTCTGGAATGGCGTTGATGGGGGTAATCCTAAGCAAAGCAGCAGATTACTTGGTTGAGAAGCAAGAAGTTTTGCTAATTAAAGCCATCCACATGCACCAAAAAGTTGGTCCAAGTGAAATATTAAAGGAGCTTGAGACCAATAAAACAAGATACAAATTTATTCTGGTCCTTTTCCTTCTTTTGATTCTCGTAATTACGGGGACAATCTTCTTAGTCTCTGTTGAAAAATTGGATGTTATTGATGCATTGTACTGTGTTTGTTCAACAATTACAACACTTGGTTATGGAGATAAAAGTTTCTCTACTCAAGCTGGTAGAATATTTGCAGTGTTTTGGATATTAACCGGTACTATTTGCGTAGGTCAGTTTTTCCTCTACATGGCGGAACTAAACACTGAAAGTAGACAAAAGGCACTTGTCAATTGGGTTCTTACCAGGAAAATGACAAATTTTGATTTGGAAGCTGCTGATCTTGATGAGGATGGCACTGTTGGGTTAGTTCATCAATTTTCGTCACAGCAAAAAACTAAACACATATGCTTATACACTTATTTATTGTGACAACATGTTATACTATGACTCTATCAAAGACTTACAGAAATGTGTTAAATTTGTTTCAATCTTTTTGGTTTGATTTGTTCATAGGGCTGCTGAATTCGTAATTTATAAGCTGAAGGAGATGGGGAAGATTAGTCAAGAAGATATAACACTTGTGATGAAGGAGTTTGAAGAGCTTGACATTGATCAGTCTGGTACACTGTCTGTTTCTGATATAACCCTTGCTCAATCATCTTAGACCAATATTATATATACACAAGTTGTTTGAGAGGCATTTTCATTTCTAACTCCAACCACAACAAAGTTTTATGAGAATGGAAATTGGAAAGTCTGAATTTTTTGCAGATTTGATGCTCACAGATTGAAACCTTGTTCAAGTGTGATAGATATTGATGTGTATGTATAACAAACTACAAAGTTATTTGAATTTCGGTGCTTGTTTTTTACCATCTCAGGCTCTACTATGAGGAGCCAAGTTCATGGTCAATGCTGTGTAAATGTTTAATTGAACTCTTGTTTTTTAATTTGTTAGATTTTTTTTTTTTTAATTATAAAACGTTAAGTAAGTTGAATTCCGAGAATTCACAAAGGTTAGAGTAGCTTCAAGGCAAAGATATGAGATTGTATCACAAAAGCTCATCATTTTCATTCCTTTCATCTCAATGTTTTGTCCAGAGCTCTTAGTTTTTTTGATGCAGCATAAATGGCGTAGTCTAAATTTACGTTTCTCTTTTTTTATACTTTTTTTTCTACCTAATTTATAATGTATTCTTTATCTTTTATTTTCTGTTCTGTGTTCTAAAAGTAAATACACAATGTGAGGCATGTAAAGTAAAGGTGTAACGAGCTTTGCAAAAAATTTATGGAATTCTTCGTTTTGAAATACCGTTAGCAAGACCAAAAGCAAACATCGAGGCATGTAAAGGAAAGGTGTAACGAGTCTTGCTAGAAAATTATGGTATTCTTCTTTTTGAAATACCGTTAGCAAGACCATAGGAAAAAAAAAAGAGGCCAAAAGCAAATATCGAATCAAAAGACATGTTTATGAAACTAGTTTATAAGACATGTTTTAAGATACATCTTCTTCTTTTTTTTTAAGATACACCTCCAATAGTGTTTTAAGATACATCTTTTTTTTTTTTTTAAATTAACCGTGAATGTCGAACAAAATATGAAATTCATCTAGTTTATGAAACTATGCAGAAGAAATATAAGGTGGATAAATTTTACAAAATAGCTTAACACTTGTATTTTTTTTCATAGCTACACAAACCATATGTATTTCTCTTGTTAAAGTGGTGAAAACGAATCTGAAAAAATGAGAACATTCACCAAATGAAAAAATGAGAACCCATTTTTTACAAGAAACGTAAATGAAATCGAAACATAAGTTTAATGAACGAAACTCGAGTTAGCGATTGGTGAAGACGAATCTGAAGACGTATCTGAAGGTTGAAGTATGTTTAAAAGGTGACATGGGTGTTAGGGTTGCTTTACGAGAGAGAAGAGTGAAACTATGTTAGGGTTTTATTTTTTGAGAGAAATATCTGTTACATACTGAACTATAGGTACTTTCGCTTATATACTAAAAACTATCACTTTTTATCACGGTTAGAAAGAAAGTGATGCAATTTTCAAAATTTACAACGGTTGTATTGTAAAACCGATTCAACTTGGTTAAATAAATTTCAAATTTTACAACGGTTGATTTACATAACCGGTGTAAAATCATTTATAATTTATTTTTTAAATAATGGACTTAAGTGACACACGCTTAATGTACTATAAAAAATGGAAAATTGTAATTGCTGGGAATCGAAGTTTGCTACACATCATTTATTACTATGGTTTTTTAAGACAACCGTCATTAGATTACTGTTTATAATTCTAAGGCGCAGAAATTTTAACCTATTACAACAGTGTATACGAATCCGTTGTAAACCTGACGTTATTATTTGCGCGTTTTGTAGTAGTGAAGGTTTTAGAAAGCAATTTGGAAGATACGAATACCAATTTGGAAGCTAGGGTCCTATGAAAAATTAAGGTTCACAAATTGAAGTGAGAAGATAAAGGGAACGACACTATATGAATTAAGGTGATTTAAATAAAAAATATGGTTCAATTATTTATTAAAATTAAAAATATAAAATGATTTAATGATTTAATGAAAATAGTTATTAATTTGATGTGTTTAAATTGTTAACAAGTATTAATCAGAATAAAAATACACACTAATTGTGACATGACAGCAACTAATACATGTCACATAAAACATTGGTCGCTATGTCAGTAAAATCCTACCTTGTATTGGGGGACCACCAAAAAAAACAAGGAAAGTGAATTATAGAGACCAAACAAGTAATTTTTTTAAAGGGGTGTAAATTTAAAAATTTAAAAATAGAGAGACTAAAAATGAATTTAAATTTATTTTAAATTTTAAAAAAAATATAAATTGAAGATTTGGTCTTATTCCTCCAATTCTTAAAGGGAGAGGTTTTAACAATTTAAAATTTAGTAAGAGGCAAGTAAAACCTATTGACTAATTAGATATTGAATTTGAATATTTTTTTATTAGTAGTTTAATTTAAAATTTAATCTAAAAATAAAAATTTTATTTTAAATTTAGAATTTTTAGTGATATAAAAATGTTTAAACCAAAATTAATGTATTATTAAGTTTGAAATTAAAAAAAAAACAATATGAAATATTAAATTCATACACAATTGATTGTATTTATCCTCATGTCATGAATCTTTGGTGCATATAGATCACCAAGAATACCTCAAATTAAAAGTATGACACAACTATATTTGTAAATAATTTTCTTAAATATTTTTTGAAATTATGTTTTATATACATTGATAAATGAATGTTTATTATTTCTATATTTTTAATCTTTAAAATATTATAGTTATATAAATTATATTTGAAAATTTTATATAAACCCTTCAAAAAAATTCAAAATCCTTCTTCATTACAAATTTTAAATTCTCAAAATTAAAAAAAAGAAATTATATTCTGGATAAAAACAAACCCTTCAAAATCCTTTCCACCAAAATCATTTTTTCACTGTATTTTTTTGTTTTTTCAAATTCACTCCCTCCTTTAAACTCTCAAATAAAAATATATCAATGTGTCACATTTCTTCTTTTGTATTTTCTCTCTCTTTATTTCTTCCATTTGCACATGGATAAAAATCTAAATAAACTTTGTGAGAACATATTATGTAACTTACAAGCTGTAAAACAAAAAATATATCCTATAGATATTTAGATATATTACTAAAATAACTATTTAGATATATTATTAAAATAGCCAGCACAAATATTTTATACATATTATATAGCATTACTAAATATATTTGAGGCTCTCAATGAGCACAATTCACTTTTTTTTTATAAAAGGAATTAATCCAAAACTTATTATATCATTATTTTTATTTATAATTCTTATTCTACATATATATATATATATATATATATATATATATATATATATATATATATATATATATATATATATATATATATATATATATATATATATATATATATATATATATATATATATATATATATATATATATATATATATATATATATATATATATATATATATATATATATAGTTGAATTAAAAAATAACTATAACAAAATAAATCACGTGTTTTTTTTAAAAATGATTTAAAATAAACAACTAAAAAGTGAAATATAAAATGACAATCTTTTGTTTATCTAAAAAAAATTTGAATACATATTTGATGTTTTCAATTTTTTATATATAATTAGTCTATGTAGACAAATGTTTATATATATATATATATATATATATATATATATATATATATATATATATATATATATATATATATATATATATATATATATATATATATATATATATATATATATATATATATATATATATATATATATTCCTTAAACTTGTTAAGTTTTAATAAAAAAATTTAAAATATCGTTTGAATAAAAAAGATATATTCGCATTTGCATTTATTTTTACTATAACAATTTGTAATAATGCTTTCTTTTTAATATTCGGAAGTAGTAAAATTCACACATGGAAATGGAAAGGTTTTGTATTCTGTCATGTGGTTAAAAAGTTGATGATGCATGAGTTGCATTGTAGTGAAAGAGTGTCAAAAACAGAAGACGATGAAAATTAAAAGAGAATGATAACAATGAATACGATAAATCCGTTAATGATAACTTGGTTAATAGCACGGAATATTCTATGGATCAATGTCGTTCATCTAAGTCAAGTTTCATGTTTCTTTATCATCTTTGCCATAGTCATGTCAGGTCTAACTCTAAGTCTCATGTTACTCGGCCTTGTTGATCTTGAGATTCTTCAGCGCAGCGGTTCTCCATCCGATATACAACAAGTCTGTGTGTTTTTTTTCTTCTTTTTATTATTAGATTTAAGTTTTACCTTTTTAGTTTATGGTGGGATCATATTTTTCTTTTATAATATTGGATTAAATTATGAAATTTTGAATGTTCAATTTAGCATACTATTGGAGTTTATGTGTGCCTGCGCATGTAACGTTTATTCTTCTAGTGGTTCGAAAATAACATCGGATTCTGGTAATGCTTCCTTTTTATATGAAAGTTTTAGTCAAGGTTATAAAAACAAATGTAGTTATTATTTTAAAGGTTTTAAACAATGGTCACAAGTTTTGGGGAAGGGAAGAATTTGTTTTGTTCGTGTCATCCCACAAGATTATTACCACTTCTAAGATGCATAAACATTCATACAGTAAAAACATTTCATGTGTGAAGATCAAAACAAATAATAAGAGCACAAACATTCTTTTACAAAAGTTTAAATTTCTTACACAAAAGTGTTCCACTGGATGTACCAATTTATTTATCGTTATTTTTGGTAAATCAAATCACAAGTTTTCGTTCACCTAAGGGATTAAACTTGAAAAAAAATCCTCTAAACAATATGTACAAAAGATTTGAGGAAATATGTTTGTGATTGGGTATTAATGTTTAAATGTAAAAAATTGGATAAAAATCTTAGTAAAAACAAAGTAGAATTGTGTGAAGAAATAAAGTAAACAAAGAATACAATAAAAGTAATTAAATAAAAACGTTATTAAAGAATTAAGAGGTACACAGATTCATACATGTTCTCTCACAAACTATTTTCTTTCTATGACTCGGATACTCGAGTTCTATAGATAAACTGATAAAAAATATGAGCCTTTATTAC